TGAACAGCAGTTTAACTTAACGGTGGGGGGAAACACTCTGTATGCTGGTGGTTATTCTGCACCATGTTCCTTAACAGTCGAAATTGCTAATGCATATGGAAAATCATGTAAAAGAGTGTTGAAACGTTCCTGAATGGTCTGGAATCGCCAGTTACTGTAAAATAAGCTGAAATGAAGAGAATGAGATGGATTTAGCCCAGCAAATATATTTTTCTCCAATTTCATTGCTGTCAAAAATTCATTAAGGTAATCTATCACTACCTACCTACACCTTACAGATAATTTAGGAGGGATGACCCCTCTAAAACCATAATAAAATGCTGCAGTTATATCACAAAATCTTAGGGGGGGGTTCCAGAAGCCATACAAAAATTATAGAAAGAGAGCTGCCAGATGAAAAACGCACATTATTATCAATTTCAATCTGAACAGCTGCAATACTCCACAAAAGTGGAACAGGTGTGATTTTTCTGATTTTATTATACCTTCCTTGAACAAAATTTTGCAAGTACCCAACACCACCTCTCCTAGGCATCACCTTTACTTGGGTTGCAGGAATGCAGATAACCACTAGATGGCAGCAGAGGGTCAGAGATTTATAGCCCCTTGGCTGCCCTCTAGCTGTTGCCTGGATCTTTGCAGTCCAGATGTGGTACAGTATGCCTAATCTTCCCCAACCTAGTAAGCTCTAAATTTACCTCCTCCTAGCTCTGACTGTGGCTTATGGGAGTTGATTGCTTAGGAGTCACATTATGAATCAGTTTTTTATAGCAGTGATTTTTTTTTTCCCATGCTCATACAGAAGACTATAAAATACCAGCTTTGACAAATCGCAGAAAGGTGTGCTCTCATGAGGTCTGAAGCAGTTCTTCCAAATCATTTTCAAAGTCTACAGAGCCATGATGGAGTTTGGCAGCATCTTCTTCTTGGCTACAGATGGGGAATCTTTCCAGCTAGAGTGATGACGAATGGATCCAGCTGTGGCTGAGATGACCCTCCCCACCCCCCACTCCCAAACTCTACCCTCACTATTTTCTACCTCATTTTCCTCCTTTGATTCAGACAGCACCACCACCTTTTTCTGCAGATGATAAGAGAAATTCTTTCTGCTACTATGTATAGTTTTCTCTTTTCTCACCCTTTTCTCATCAACTGAATCATGACATTTTCTACATGCATTTGCCTGGCAATGATTTATTTTTGGATCTTTTCATCTGAGATTTAAGATGAACATATACACCGATTTTAGCATCAAGCAGAGTAAGAAAAGAGATACAGGGCACTGTGAAGAATGCATGCCATCACCACTGCGTGCATATAATTGCCCATATCTTTTATGCCACCCTTCCCCAAACTGGTGTCCTTCAGATGTGTTGGGACTACTAGATTTTAAGCCTGGGAAACCTGTGAGTTGTGCTTCTAATACATTTGAGGATCCAGACTGGGGACAGCTATCAAGCCCATGAGTGAAGCATCAGCACTGCAGAAGTGCATGTTGTAACAAACAGGAGCAGCTACCAGACTTTTTTTTTTTTAAAATGCATTTGTCAGCTACCCATTCTATACATTTGTACTGTTTTTATATTCTCTCTCTCTCTCTTTCTCTAACCATTATTAGTACGGTCTACATTGATCATAAAAGGCATCACCCCAACTGCCTCCTTCAAATTTCACTGTTTTTAATCATATTTAGAAAAAGCACTTTTATCTTCTTTTGGAAAAACATGTTCTGGCTTTAACAAGGGCAAGTAAAGGTTAATTAACTTTGGTGCTGTTCTTCGTATTCAGGTAACTTTATTTAAAAGAGAGACCTTCTCATTTTAATCTAATAAAAGCACCACCACCACAATTCCTAATGGATAATCAAAGCAGAATTAAATCTCAGGTTTAAAAAAGCTTTTCCTTCAAGAATTCTTTGGGTGTCCACATTTGCTGGGTGTCAAATTATTCAGTCTGGTTAGAGATACAGCAAATGATCAAACTAGGGGAAATCTGCTAGTTAAACTAGCAAAGATGGTTCAATGCAAATATACAAGCATAAAATTATGCATTTTGATTATGTGCCATCAACTTGTTTTCAACTCCTAGCGACCACATAGACAGATTTTCTCAATGAAAATTATGTATATTAGATTAAAAAATAGCCATAACTTCCCATATATATATAGTTGGGATCTAAGTTGTCTATGATTTGATCAAGATGAGATTCCTCGATGGCTAACAAAAACTTCAAAAATATATAATTTCCTTTAAGTTGAGCTTAACTCTTAATGCTAATGGACATAACCATGCAGTTTTCTTGATAATTGTATGGAAGTGGTTTGCCATTCCAAGATGTTGTTCCAAATTCCCATTCTAGTTTACATTCATGGTATTTTGGGGTAGTTTCCATTCAGGAATTAACCAGGTCTGATAAAAAAGAGCAAATACCATGTTGAGATCATTATGAATTTTTTTTAAAAATGTCTATATCATAACACCTTTACGTAGCTCTGTGGTGTGAATATCCCCCAATCTCCTGCAATTCTAAAAGGGTATTGGATAGGGCTACAAAATCTGGACTTTAAAAATCCAGCCAACCACCAGATGAATGAGAAAAGATATGGAAAATGATAGCTCTTTGTATCCATCTACTGATCATCTGGACTTTTGGCTTCCAAATCTGGTAGTCCTAATATTGGAGAACTGGATAAGATGCAGAAAATAGGAATCAACAAGAGGCTGGAGCAATTCCAGTACATAAAGTTTATAAAATTAGCTTTTAAAAAATCAAATAAGAAAAGACATGATAGAAATGCATATAAAAATGTATGGTACAGAAGAGGAGAATAATTTTTTTCTCTCTCTCTCAAAACCTAAAGCCAATTAATGATGCAAGTTTCAGAATAAATAAAAGGTGGTACTTTCTCTTCACATAACACAATTGTGAAATGTACCTCAACATAAATACCTCAAAATAAAGTGGTAATTTCCACCAAGTGGAAAACACTTAATTCAACAATTAAAATGGGTGGAGTAAGATATCAATGACTACTAGACATACAGTTACATATTTTATAGTAATGAAGATCATCCAACATCCAATCTGGCATGAGTTGAGTCAATTAGCATAATCTAATCACTTAAATTTGAATTATCAATTCAATTAAATAGTGTGTGCACACATGCAAAAATATACTGACTCACTGAATCGATATAAAAGTACATAATTAAATTACTTAATTAAATGGTGATCCAATTGAAACATTCTACTTGAAGGAGGAGTTGATAAATTTGCCTTTGAATCAAATCTGCCAGTCAAAGTTTTGCATAACACTTCTATATTATTGGCAGTATCAGAGACAACATGTCCTTTGCCTATGAACACCAATTGCTGGGAATGGTACAAAGATCTTTTTAAGTTCTTTTTAATTTTCAGAGTTTGGCTCCAGAGTTTCAGCCCATGGTAAATGGAAAAGAGCTCCCCTTTCCATTTGCAACTGCTAGCATTCAATCACAAAATTTAATATTTATTTAATTTAACATGTATAAACTTAACAAGCATAATATGAACGCTTTCTCCAAGAATCCCTGTAGGAATGAGCAATAAAATAGGACTACTTCTACTATGCATTAAATACTGAATGTGTACAAAACTGATTGAGTAGGTGATATACAAGCTATTAAAACAGTAAACCTTTAAAATTCCTCAGAAGAAGGGCAGAACTCATACTTAAGAAATGGCTTAACACTGAAGGCTGCTATGGCCAAAAACGCGGGGGGGGGGGACTTTCCTTTCATCAGGAACATGTGAGTTACCTGTGTGCACTTCTAGATTTATTTGGAAATGCAGTGTTTTCTTAAAATATTCCTGGTAGTTAATACGTCAATTCATATTGCCCAGGAAGCACTTTTTAAGCTGGAAAAACATTTATCAAGAATATCTTTCCCCATTTGGTGTCCTCTTGATGGGTTGGGACTAGGTCCCAGAACTCCCATGAAGGATGGTCACACTGCCGGGGAATTCAGAACTACAGGAAGGGCAGTTTTTTCTTTTTTAAAAAAGACAGTAAAACTACTGTACCTGTTTGATGGGAAGTTAATAAATACACAGACTGAGCTGCATAACTGCAGCTGTCAAAGAACAAAAGGAGAAGCAACCAGAGGTCACATAAACTGAATTTCTACTTCTTGGTCTAGACAATATTTATTTACAGCAGATCATAAAATCTTCTGGCAGCAAAACTGACAGAGCCAACATCTTTCTTGCTGGTGACAGATCAATAGCAGTTCTTGACTGTCTTGCTTCTGTTAATTTTTTACATTAACAAGGGATCAGGTCATATTGAAAAGATAGAATGGTGCTTAGGTCACCACACACAGCCTGTGCGTATTAGAAATTGATATTACTGAGCAAGAACTTCCCCATTCTCTGGCTTGTCTAAAATCTACATTTTTATCTAATTATCTAAAATTATCTAAATTTTGCTCAACTCTTGGAAAATTTTCAGAAATACATTGAGGCTGTCTTGATAGTTAAGATGCCCAGAAGAGCTCTTCATCCACCGTTTTTTCCAAAACTTGCAAAAGAGGAATGAGGTAGAATGGAGCCTTGCAAAGTCATGACATTGTCTTTGAGACCATGATGTGTTTGTTATTGGAGTTTGGGAAATGGGCCTGCTAATGCCTCCTCTTTAGTGGCATGTTCGTTTCTATGGTCCCCAATGATAATCAACATTCCAGTTAAACTGGAATGATTTCCCCGCTGTATAAATTACTCCCATTAGATTCACTGCTTTCTCCATGTTTCAGAACATCAGACAGTGGTGATACCAGGGTGAACCTACTCTATTATAAAACCATTATAAAATCCATCTTCCACATTTTGACATTAGTTGCTAAACCCTTAGTACATACATAAAAGATGGGGATAAATAAACACACATACACATATACACAGATGATATAAAGAATCTATCTATTGATGCTTTTATTCAAAACATTTACATCATACCATTTATTTCAAAAGCCAGCAAGAAGCCAGCAAGAATTAGTTGAAAGCAAATCACTCTCAACTGCCTAATTACTACAAGCAGCAGAATACAAAAGATGAAAGGCAGCCATCAAAATAAGACATTCTCCAAGAAAGTTCGTGTTGTCTTCATAACACAAAATATTTTAAAATCATTTTTAGCCCATAACTTCAAAGCATGTTTCAAGAAAAGGGATTTCCCCTATCATGTGAGCTTCTACAGTATTCCCAAAAAATAAACCCTGTGAATGACTTCATCATTTGATGCATCCAACTTTGAATTAAACTTCAAGAAACATTCCTGTACAATCGAAAATCCTGCACCAAATAAGGCTCAATTTGCATTTCTGGAGACTCTTTTTCATTCCATGAAAACCTGCTTTTACTAACAATGTTGACTCTCAGGCCAGAAGGCACTCAAGAAGCTAGAGATGTAACTCAAGTGTCAGTTCTACTTTCCTGTGTTTTAATGATGTTGCTCCATGAAGAATTCTTGGACGTGTGAATGATGACTACTACTAGGTAAACCTTCAACTGACCCAATAAAGATATCGCCTGATAATAATTATGGTTATTCCTTTCAATGGCTATTACTGCTTTTTTGCTTGTTTTGTTGAAAGTGGCATGGGAAAACTGCAAGTAGATTGAAACCACTACATCAATGGCCACAAGGATCCTTAATTCCTCAACATCCTAGTTTTCCCCCCATATAATCAAAAATCACTATGATTGCGGTAGCTGGATGTTGCTTGTTTTATGTTCAGAAATACAGACCTCTTTGCAGTAATTAAAGTGGTGTATCTGTGAAGTTCTTTTCTTTTAATGTTTCCTATGAAGTCTGAAAAAGAAGAATAAAAATAAAATAAGAGAGAAATGAAGATAGAGGGCTGCTACTAATAAATCTGACAAATTTACAAGGCTAGAACATCAAAACAATCTAATTATAAAAATACTTTCAATGGATAAATAATGTGTTTGTTCATTAATCAAACCAATACATTGCCTCAAACATCTAATTTATATGTTCTGTTTAATATTTTTTTAATAGTAAATCTAAAGTTGCTTTGTCTTGAATTACATTTATATTCATAAAGCTGCAAAACGAACAAAACAATCCCCAAACCACCAGATCAACAGGAACCTGCATTCATGTGCAATTTGTTGGAAGAATTTCTCTGCATAACTGATCACTGAGTACAGCTCCATTTTTTTTTTTTTACAAAAATTGGTGAGGTCACCACACATAACAGATCAGAGATGTCCTGTCCAATGGTGCAAGCAAGGAATGAAGTTCATATGTCAAAGTCAGAAATATCTTGTCTCCCATGCTGCTCCTGGCTGTTTCTTAAACCAGCCTCAGAAACTCCAATCTAGATTGCAATGGGTTGGCAACAGGGCCCGACTGATGCTCAGTGTGGACTAGGGCCATTGCAAGACTCAACAGGGCATTCCCTGCCTTCTTGCCCTTCCCACTTGTGCTGGGAAGACAAGCCTCACTGGCTGGCTCTTACATGGACTAGTCTACCAGTGCCCACCTTTTCTTTTTAGGGATTGTTCTCTCTCAATAGTCCTGCTGCCTTTCCTGTGCTTTCCCACGTTTTCACAGATATCTTCACACACACACTCCTCACGTTACCTCCTGTGACACTAGCACAGATCCTCCCTCCCTCCCTCTCTCTTATGGTATCAGTCTTGTTGTGATGTTACAACAATCAGACCAACAGGGGAGAGGTTTTTCTTTAGTTCCTACATTCTGCTGTAGGTCCAGAGGACCTTCCTTTATAGTAAGAAAGAAATAATAGTTTAATTTCATAGAAGTAAAGTAGCAATGATTTAATTTTTTTTTTCTTAAAGGGAAGGGAAGCTTTCTAGTACTGCGGACATGTGGACAGAGAGTGGGAGAGAAAGGGGGGACATGCTTCACCAGACTGGGCATGTGAGAGATGGTTAAAATATGTTATTATTGACAAAGAAATAGTAGCTTGAGCATGCTAAG